TCCACAGCTGGACACAGCACTCCAGGTGGGGTCTCACGAGAGCAGAGTAGGACGATCCCATCCCTTGCCCTGCTGGCCACACTGTTTGTGCTTGGTCCCTTCCTAGACATGTTCTAGCACGGTTATGTTGCTTAAGAATGTAGCAGAGGTGGAGTCATCGTGTTCCTGCTTGACCTGGTTCTGTCACCAAGGCCCCTGAGCACAAATGCAAAAGTCTGTTGTGTTCCAGGGGCCAGTTTAAGGAATAACTGTGGATGGGGATGGGCTGTGTGGTCTGGAGGTGAACTGTAGACAGTCCTCTAGGATGTCTGAAAAATCCTGTCCTACAGTTTATCAGTGTGGGCCCTCTACAGTATTAACCAAAACCCTTCTTAAAATGGGATTTTGGGCTCTCTGCATACAGCTTTATCATTAGTACAGACCTTGTGAATCCACAAGCGGTTAACACAAGCGGCGTATGTTCTTCAGGAATGTGACTTGGTGCAGGTCTCCCCTGTTTACACCCTCTGCACACTTCTGTGGGCAAGGCCTCTGATGAGAGAAGTCCAGGGGAGGGCAGGCTAAAGAAGCGGGGTAACGGCTAGTCATAGGCTGGAGGATGTTGAATTTGCTTTTGGTAGTTGTTCAAGAGTACAGTGAAGCGAGGCCTGAGGAGTTCTTCCTGGAGAGGGTGGGGAGGCACTGGAACAGGTTGCCCAGAGAAGCTGTGGATGCCCCATCCCTGGAAGTGTTCAAGGCCAGGCTGGATGAGGCTTGGAGCAACCTGGTCTAGTGGAAGGTGTCCCTGCCCATGGCAGGGGGGTTGGAACTGGATGGTCTTTAAGGTCCCTTCCAACCCCAAACCATTCTGTGATTCTATGACTGCAGTGGGAATCCAATAGATTGGCTCAGAAATGAGCCTTTCTCTAATTTGAGTAGGTTTAAAACCTTTTAGAGGCTCTCTTTCTCATTTGATTTGGGTCAGGAGCTATGAGATGGACAACCTGGTGTTTTGGTTTGTTTTCTTTGTTTCGTTGGGCAGTCCCTTTCATACCTTAGCTTTTTAGGCTTTTGTAGCTCAAAGCCTGTAGGCTTCTGGTTTTTAAGTCACAGGAATGGTACTTTCCCTGTTCCTTTGCTGTAGGTCAGTAAGGAATTCTGATGTTAAGTTTGTGGTTTGCTTGCTTCTGTGCGCGTGGAAGTGAAATTATGGCATACGTGATTGTGTTAGAGGATTATTTTTCTTCATTAGATTTCACAAAAACATTATGATATATTAAAAAATGTAGGAGTTAGAATTATTTGCTGGAGGTGGAAAACTAATGGGAACTACTTTGTCTCAAGGTTTCTATTGGAACCACAATGCAAAGGGATGCGTAGCTGTGGGCGCAGAACTGCCTGCAGTCCTCTAGTCCTTGCCCGTGGGCTGGTTATGCGCAGTTCCCGCTGGGAAGCGATCCTGACTCGGGGGCTGCGGTCCCCGTGCTGGCCTGCTCCAGCCGGCCCAGCTTCCCAGCTCGTGCCCGCTGGACCGGAAGTGGGAAGCTGACTCTGTGCAGCTTCACCGCTGCCCGTGGTGGTACAGGACAGCTGAACTGGGTTCAGCAGCAGTGGGGTTACCTCGTTTTTCCCAGTGTTACAGTGCATCCCTGTATGGCATCAGGTTTTCCTCACTTGGTTCTGCGGAGAGTCCTGCCAGGAGATGCCTGGCCTCAGCGCTAGGACGATGGGCAGGCTCAGACGCGCACTGCTGCCTGCCCGAATGACGACTTCTGGCCCCAAAAAATGTGAGGCACAAAACAGCCACTCCTGATTGGCTTGGATGAGCATCTTCTAGGACAGCACATTGGTGAAATGCCCTGGTGCTGAAACACACGGGTCTCACTCTGAGTATTCTTGCTATGGGATCAGGAAGGAGGATTTGGGATTTACTTCCTTCCTGCTGTGGAGTAGATGTAACTTATGTTCTCCACGCTGACTAAATTATTTGTATCGGTTTTTAAAGCCATTTTATTTGTGGCAGCTTTGTATTTTTTTGGTGGCGTTTCCTTTTTCCTCCAGGTATGAGAACTTCCAGAGACGTCTGACACAGAACCCTCTCTTCTGGAAAACATAAGCCCTAGTGGTGTCATTTGAAGTGCTTGCCCAGCAGCGTGACCTGGAGGATGCAGCGAGTAACTCCACCGAGGAATCTTTTAGGGAAACGTAACAAACGATTAGTCTGAACAGACAAACTCGTAACTTTTGTATTACTCATGAAAACTATTTAAAATTAAAATCAGCAAAAAGGACTTGCCTATGTGTTGGTTTTTCTTCCCAGTGGGGGTAGTTGGCCGCAAGAACTAGGCGTTGCCCGTGCGGGTGTTCTGAAACCCCATCTGAAGCGGAAGAACGTCCAAGATGGAAAACAGCAGCACTGTTCCACGCTTGGGTGGTGATTTGGGGTGTTTGGTTGTAAACAAAATACATGCAGTGTTTTCTTTCTTTACCTCATGCTCAAGGGTGGCCTCTTCTCCTGGAATTTTTTTTCCTCATATCTAATCTAAATTTACCTGCTCCAGGGGGTCTCCTCCTTTTCTGCAGGGAATTCTCAGCCTGAAAACCAGAACTGTAGTGGAAGGTGGTCACTGAGCTGATTTCTAAGTAAAAGTTGTTCTGGAAAGACACAAGTCATCCAGGTACCTCTGCTCTGCTGCTGCTTTTCCCCTGCAGAGAGGCACTCGGTGTTCACCGGTCGAAGGGAACAGCAACTTCTGAACTTGACTGTACTCTGTTATGGAGAGGGTGTTCAAGGCCAGGCTGGATTCCATGACTCTTCACAGCAGCGAGTATCAGGCTGTGGTTTGGATTTGTGCTGAGAAAAATGTCAGTAACACTCATGTTTTAGCTGCTGCCATGCAATCACAGAATCATGGAACGGTT